CCAAAATTTCTTTTGTCACAAAGAACAACTGTTTTATCTAGCTCATACAAAACAAATATCTTTGATGTGCTATTACTTGCCTCGCAATGGTTTAGAATTATTAAAAGCTGACAGTTCACCTTGCTTCATATGCAAATTAATTAACTAATCAAAAGTATAAAGACACCATTAAAAGCACAAGTCCATGAGAACAAGAACTCCACTAACTGACAGATATTCTATTAACTTAAGGGCTGAACTTATTAAACAAGATGAAACAAACTAATCCAAATAAAAAATTGATAATTATTCCTTCAAAATCAGGGTATCCATGTCTAAAGATTAACAATTGTTTTATATCCAGATTTTAAGAAACTTTGTGCCATACAACTTTGAGAACCCTTCACCAGAACAATGTCTATGATAAAGGCTTTGTGGTATCAACTGTACATTCATGTTACAAATCATGCTTCAAAAGCAGGAACAACTTCATATAAAAATAGCAGTTTTGGTATCAAAATGCCACTCAACCCCTCAACACAAAGAATCAAACATGCCTCATCACAGAAATGATGAACTCTTACATGTCCATGCCAACTAATGGCAGCTTAGAAAGCCATGAACAAACTTGAATTGATTGGTCGTGACATGTTTGGCTCACAACTAAAAAATATCTTAAAACAAGCCCACCACAACCTTAAAAAGCACATTGAGTGAACTCCTTAAAACTAATTTAAAAAAAATCAAAAGGCAGCAATTTCATGTACTGATTTTTAATCATGTAGGAATACAATGCCAATATTCCCACCACCAAAGCAGGAGGGAAGGTTGAGAAACAGATGTGCATTTCGGTACACTCCAAGCTACATTGAATGACTTATTTTAAAATAGTAAACTAGATAACTTTCAAGAAGCAACCATCAAAATCTAATTTTTTATCTAGGTACAGTAAAAACCTTTGAAGATGAAGAGCAATTTTTAACAAGGGAGGGCTTTCTGACAAAATGATAAAAATAAAAAACTAAAAGCATTAATCAACATAAGAAGAACCTCAATTTCTTTTAAACCCTAGGGGGAAAATTTCTTATACTCATTGCCAACATCCTGTCCCCACCTCGTCTTGTAAACAGTATTCAGAAAATGATGCAGTTTACTCAACAGTTCTGATGAGCATTGTGAATAGCTGTTTCTAGGAGAGTCAGCAACTCCAAGATGGTGTAAAAGAAGAGATTGAAGGCATCTATCCTAACTGACTAGCAATATTTGTCAAAAATCATTTGAACTTACAAGCAGACCATAAGGGAGAAGTTCTTTAATAAAAATTCTATCTATATATAGGTCAGCCAATGGAGGTTACCTAATGTCATTCAGTTTGTTTAGCACAAACAATACAAGTTAACAGATTTGGAGCTTTAAGTCATTCACTTCACAACCAACAGAATTATAGCACTATGATCCACTGTTCAGCTAACAAACTTTAACCGATAATATATTCCTGGAAAACAGGAACTTATATCTGTGGGCATACCCTACAGCCCATGTGAAGCATATATGGTCAAAGGTGATGAAAAAGTTGAGCCCACCTATTGGCAAGACATGCAAACAATACAAGTTAACAGATTTGGAACTTTAAGTCATTCACTTCACAACCAACAGCATGATAGCACTATCATCCACTGTTCAGCTAACAAACTTTAACCGATAAAATATTCCTGAAAAACAGGAACTTATATCTGCGGGCATACCCTACAGTCCATGTGAAGCATAAAAAGACAAAGGTTATGAAAAAGGTGAGCCCACCTATTGGCAAGACATGATCTAATACTATAAGCCTTGAACAGCATCATTATGGATAAAGAGATGCATTAAGTTATGGTCCCCTCTGAAAACTAGAGCAGCCAGTAATGCTAATGCCCATGTGGGCTTTGCTTCACACAGGACAGAGCTGTGCATACTAAACTAGAAAGCTTCCTTGGTTAACCAAAGCTATTCATTATTAAGTTCCCAAGTTCAATTCCAAAGCCCTTGTAGAAACGTTCCAATTGCCATTAAGCCCTAAGGATGAAGAGAACCTTTGCATCTTCTTCGGAAACATCGGGAACCTTGAGAGCAAGCCTTCCAATTCATTTGCAATCCACATACCCTCACAATGTAGCCTTCACAGTTCCTAATGCTTATACAATTCTCATAGTTTGACTAGTTAAAGCTAGAAAAGCAGTCACCTAATATGCAAAACCCAATTCTAATAAGAAAGCTCATATGCTCATAAAATGAGGTTTGCATCATCCCTCAGGCTTGATTGCAAGTCTTTATACCACTTATGTTTGAAACTAGTGAAATCACTAACTATTGCTCAGCCGACAGCCAGATAAAAACTTTCAGAAAATGGCTTAGTTCATGCTCATACCCTACAATTCTTAATTTCTTCAATTTTATCAGTTTAAGGCATCACTGTCGAAGGCCTCCATTATCTTCAATTTATTTTATCACATCACACCTGCTACACCAACTTTGGGTTTGATTTGAATTTCTCTTTTCTCCATTAGTTATCTAATCATGGTCCCAAAATAGTTATAAAAAAACCTTGCAATAAAAATTTCAGCTTTCATTTCTTTGCACCAGTCATCTAATAGTCAAACACAAAACTTAAACTAAAAGCTTAACTCCAAATTTTTATCTAATAAATGAACTTCAACCAAACCCAAAATTTGATCACAATAAAAAGCAATAAAAAAGTTTTTTTTACCTGCCATCAAACAAGGCATCAAAAACGAAAGAAACCAAGTGATGATCAGGGTTTTGGTCATCTACTTCGATTTTCAGCGTATCCTTATGCACGTTCACATCATTCCTCACTTTCTTAGCATTCCGGTGCTCCACATATGGCGGTGGTGGCTGCGGCGGTGCCGCCACGGCAGGACTACGAATCGCGGGCCACCCATTAGTCTGGTTGGCGTAGTAAGGATGGTAGTGGACAGGGAAACGGCCCATCATGGGGTTTGAGTAACCGCAGGAATTGTAGGGTTGGGAGCAGTAGTAGTTGCTGTGAATTGGAGGCGGTGGAGGTGGGGGGTGCGTATGATAAGGGTTTTGGGGGTGGACAGGATAAGGGTGACTTGTTGAAGGGGGAGGAGGAGGTGGCGGAGCCG